CCCCCAGGTCCTTTTCCGCCAGGCAGCTTTCCAGCCACTCTTCCCCAAATTCATGATTTCACAGGCAGCTAAGCCACTCTGAGAGGGACCTAAAAGAAATCTTGTTGCGTGTGTGCCTCTTATGCCTACTTCTGCTTTTGGCCAGATTGGCTTGTGCCCATCTGTTGAGTTGGTAATAGCAATCATCAGAGCCTTCTCTAAGCTAATTCAGCTCGCTAACCCAGGCAGAAACTAGCTATGGGTAGATTGATTGGTTGATTGATTTTCCTGCTGGGTTAGTGAACTGAACTGGTCTGTGGAGATCTCCACCAAGTCCTGGAGCTATGCAGAAGGGCAGAAGAGCAGGTCGTAGGTCGGTTCACCCTCTCTCATGCATCTGCAGCCTCAGGACTTGCATCTGTAGGTGTTCTCCTCCTGCTCCGAGCAGGACACAGAAGGACTTGGACTTGCCCTGAGAATATAGACTGGGTCTTCGCTATGTCATGCAAGAGGAAATTTCCCTAGTTCAGGTCTGGGCTACACAAAGAGATGTTTGTTGCTTTAAGAGCATTAATTAGGACATGTGTTTCTTTCTGAAATGCTTTTAAATAAAATAAAACAAAACTCTAATATGGAAGCAACTGTGGCCAAAAGCCCATGTTTTTGCCATTATGATTTATACTCTTCAAGGAGCCGCTGTTATCTATTCCTGAGTTGTTCTCCAAGTATAATCTCTGTCTTCACTAAGACTGTGTGCCAGTAAAACTACACTTGCAAACTGTTTTCTAGTGGGAAAAAAAATCGCTTTGTAGTTAAGCACAAAATTAGGTGTAGGTAAGTTTCAGTTATTTGCTGGGTTTGGATTTTAGTTTTCTGAAGTAACAAATTTCTCTTCTAAGAAAGTGTGTTGATTGTTACTGCTGGTGATAGATCTTGAGGGAGAATGAAGGTGCCTGAAATACTTCCGAACGTCTCTTTTTTTTTTACGTGTGGAAGAGAGATGGTGGAAATCCTGGTGATGGCATTCCTTGAAACTTGTCCTACACGTTGTCATATCTGATGCTATAGATGGACCCTGTAGGATGGCGGTATGTGTGGTGAGAAAATGCTCCAAGTTTGGCCAGGCACTTGGTCTGCCTTCTTGCAGAATGCCTGCGTGACTTTGAACAAGTAATTTTGAATTGTCTGAAGGCCAGCCCCTTTCTGTGAGCTCTTGGTCTCAAAAATTAGCATAGGTTTACTTCCCTGCCTCACAGGGATATCCTATAGAAAGCTGTGTTTCAGGTATTTAGGTACTCCGGCTAGCAGAATTAATAGAGAAGAATGCTGAGATTCTGTCTGGATTTTAATAAAGGATTGGTCAAATCCTGAAGTGAACTGGAGGAGGCAAAAGACAGCAGTATACCTACCCCTGTAATCTTGACAGCTGAAAATATGTGGCTTGCCAGTCTGGTGTCTGGGTTAGGCCCACGTCTCAGTTTTATTGCCACAATGACTCTGTTTCTTCATGTGGGTTAAAGACAATATTTTGGTGTGTTGGTGAGATGTGCTTAGCTGTGTAACTTGCGTGCACAAGTCCTGCCCTGATTCTGTTACAGAGCTTATATATCCAAAGTTTAGTCTTCGGCTCCCTAATCCAAGAGCTCCTCCTTTGCTCTTGGCACAGGTTTGGGCTTTGGGCCCTGGTTCAGCACTCAGCTGCCACTACAGCTTTTCTCTCTGTTTGTTAGTCCTTCTGATCCCTCATTCTGCCCTTGAATCCAGCCTCAGAGTTTGAATTCCTGCCTCGTTGCTGTAGAATTGCAGCAATAGTAGGAAACCCAGATTTTAGAAGTAGGGAAGGTTAGGGTTAGACAGATAAGGTGTCAGTGTGAATCAGTCTGTGCCTTGAGTAGAATTCAGAAGTATCTGGCTCCCAGCCCTGTGCTTAGTCAGAGGTCAGTCCCTTTTGTAAGACTTGGATTATGACAATAATTGGTGTTTATATTATATTTTTGCCTTGTAACATTGATCTCAAGTTCTCTCTCTTTCCCGAAGATGTAAAGCAGATACTATAAAGCAGAGTAAGTTACTCACCCAAGTGGAATCAGTGGCAAAACTGCTAGGGTTTGCTTACTGCCAGCGTGCCAGCATCCAGTAAGAAATATTTTATCGGCAGTGAAGAATTTCAAAGACTGAGTGGAAGAACAGCTTATGTAGCAGTAGTGAATCTGGGTTTGGGGCTCTTTAACTAGCTGAGAAACTTGAAGCCTCCTGAAGAAATGATATGTTGATATTCTGCTCTCAGCTTGCCTTCTATAATTTGTGTAGCGGTGAGTATTTGATTACGTTGGATTTATTTTCAGAAGTTTCAGGCTGCTCTTATTAACTGTCACCATTTTGATCGAAAGCGTATGGCAGTGTTCTGCATTCATAAGACAGTGTTTTGCATTCATAAACAGAACCGGTGACGTTTAACCTCGATAGATCAGCTTGTAGTCTGATTTCACTCCTTGCTGCAATGTGAGGCTTTCGTTTCCCTGGGATGAGAGCAGTCATTACAAGCATTACATTTTGTTTGTGAATCAGGATGAATGGGAGTAGAGTCCTCTTTGAAAATCAGAACTAAGAGATGCAACTGCAGGAGATAATTATGCTAACGTATGGATAAGGATGGCTCTGTGTTCGTTGACATGATGAGCACTTGAGGCCTGATTTTTTTTCTCTCTCTTGAAAACTGGTACAACTCCGCTGAAAATACTGGAGTTGCAACTGATGAGCATAAGTGTTGGCTCAGATGAGTCAGATCCTTAATCCTCTGTTGCGCCCCAGAATTCATAG